CCCCCCCCCCCTCCCTCTGCCATACATTATGAACGCAGCCCTAGAATAAAACCTAAAAAATAGTAATTAATGTTAATCATACATGTTTTGACTATCCATTAGGTATAGACCGCCAGATGTGCTACTTGGTTCGACAGCTTATTCAACACAAATAGACATGTGGTGAGATTGTAGTTACGGCGTTTTACTTTGTTAGTTCTTCCTGTTTACCGTTGCTATGTAACCATATGCGTCTAGTCTTTTCTATTAATCCATATGGACAGCCATATATTTAGATTTTAACTGGTTTAACAAATTGTCTCTTCAAGGGGCGTTGGATGTATATTTTATGAAATGGCTACTGGCCGACCTCTGTTTCCCGGTTCAACAGTTGAGGACGAACTTCATTTAATTTTCAAGGTAAGACATTCACGTAGACTTCAGCGTTTTAACGTTTACCGAAATGATTTTTTAAAATTCATAATCTTTCAGTTGCTCGGAACTCCCACGGAGGAATTCTGGCCAGGAATCTCAACTAATGAAATATTTTTAGCTGGTAAGACATTTAAGACATTTTTCTGAGATCGATAAAAGTGATGCATTCTGGTCTAGCTTGGGTAAAAACACCAACATATAAGGCATGATATAACGATGTTTACCCATGCTAGACCACAATGCACCAAGTCTTCAGATTGGCCTCGCTTACATGGAAATTGCTTAAGCGCAGCATTATTATTGGAAGTAAATGGAAAATATTAATATATATTACTATTTTCGTCAGGAACATTTCCTATCTATCCGAGAGAACATTTAATAAACCATGCTCCAAGGTAAGATAACTATGTGCTTTATGGAGATTTATTCTTTCAAGGGGTGGGGTGGTGGGGGGCATTGATACCTTCATGCAACCTCGTACCCAGAACCCACGTTCCTCTTGGTCAGCACTTGTTTCTTGTAGACTCTTCCACAGTCTCTCGCTCGTCCGTTCCGTCTCCACGCTTAGAGACTGTAACGGTACAATGACCGAAAGAACTTATGGGTCCCGAAAACTTGGACCCAGCGTGCTTTGGGGACCAAAATACTCGTCCACATTCTCTCTCGTTTCAATATTTTCAAGATGGCGGCGAAAACGAGAGAGACTGTGGACGAGTATTTTGGTTCCCAAATCACGCTGGGTCCAAGTTTTCGGGACCCATAAGTCCTTTCGGTCATTGTACCGTTACAGTCTCTAAGCGTGGAGACGGAACGGACGAGCGAGAGACTGTGGAAGAGTCTATTGTTTCTTGGTGCTGGCCAAGAGGAACGCGGGCTCTAGATACGAGATTGACCTTCATTGACCTACACAAAAATATTTCGAGGATATGATTCGAAAATAATCACAATGCAGTAAATTAACTGGCAGATAAAGGGGCTTTATAGTAACGCTGATAATAATTTATTTATCTATTTTTTTTAATGAACTAATTGTTTTACGCTTCGCTCCTTTACAGACTGGACAATTCTGGTCTAGAATTGCTGGAAATGTTTTTAGAGGTAATTGAATAATTTGCTAAATTTAAGGAAATGTTCCTTGCAAATGGTCATACAATTTTGTTAAAAAAACAAGTTGCAAAAGAAATATCCAATGTTAATATGCCAAAAATCTGTCTCGCAATTTCGTTTCAGCGTAACCGCACTATTTGTAAGTACAGACCTCCTTGGCTCGGGCGTAAATGTTTTCCCATTTCAGACAACGTGTCATTCCCTTGAGTATCATTTCTTTACTAAGGATGATATTTTCAAGATAATGACACGTGGTCTGAAATGGGAAAACATTTACGCAAAAGATAGAGGTTTATTAGGCTCTCATGTAAAACGTCGAATTTTACATGAGTCGAACCTAGTTGAAACGATGGATAACAATGCGGTCCTCTTTCATGTTATTAGGTTCGGCTCATGTGAATCTCGAAGTTTGACATGAGCCTTAGAAATCTAAAATACAAAGAATTGTTAGAATTAGAATCGAATTCTACGTTTTCGTAATTTACGCTTTCTATTTATAAAAATAAATAAATAAAAAATAAATGAGATTTAACAGTGGCATTTCTACAGAGTACCTATTCACCCACTGTAATTCCAATTGGAATTGAGGAGTTGATTTTTGCGGAGGGAGGAAAGCAGGGTAACCCGGAAACCTCGAAGCACAGGAGAGAACCAAACAAACAACTCTACTCACATACGACACCGAGCTCAGCGGGACTCGAACCCGGGTCGCATTTGGTGAGAGGCGAGCGCTCTCACCTCTACGCCACCCATGCTTCCATATTTTCTAACAAGAAATTTATGTCATGGTTTATATTTCTCGTACAACAGTATAGCGTCAAATCAAGAATATCAGCCCATGATGCCATGAGACACGAATACTTTTATAGTTTTGGTCCGAAAGTTCTCGAACTGGACGATCGTAAGTTGACTTTATTATTAATAGCAGTACTATTTAAGGGTTTGGACCTTGTAAATCATATTATTGCGTAGGCATGGGAACATAGCACTGAGCACTTTTAAGGTTGCTGTTCATCCGTTTTCTTGTTAGAAAAGCGACGAGGAGGGGGGTAGCATAGGGTTGCGTACATTGTCTTATAACTTCCTGGCCTCTGTTGCCTCATCACTCTCAAATACCTTTTTTCTTCTACAGTTCAGTCAATTTTTACGATAGAAGAAATTCGATTAACCAAAGATCCTGGATATAGAACCACCGCTAAAGGCACAGGGGGTAAGTACTGCTTCGCTTTCACCCTATTTCATGATGACGTCACATCAAAACAAACTATTGTTTTAACGCTAGGGATCATGGTCGCTGGAGGGGGATGGAATGACAACAAAACATCTTAAATCACAATGAAATTTGGTTTATGAGCTGGTGAAGACAAGATAACTAAATATTACGCTAAATATGTCGAAAGAAGAGAATTAAGCTTAAATTTCTGTCATTTTAGCCGATGTAAACAAAACGTGACGTCATTATGGAATTGGGCAATTTGTCATTATTGGTCCTGAGCGCTTGCATACTCCTAAATTCAAAATGGCGCACGGCCAGTTGAAAACGAGGCATCCAGGGCCAAATTTACAAATTTACAGTATTTTCTTATAATTGGATTGCGCAAAATTGTCGCGTTCCTGAATGTAAGAAGAAAAGGGAGACTGAACAAGTGTATACTTTGCATTGACAACATATTATTTCTTTGCATTTGGCCCTGGATGCCTCGTTCTCATGTAACACACTCGGTCGTGCGCCATTTTTGACTTCTCCATTGGGCTTAAGATTCTTTTAAGCCATTGTTGCGTAAAAAAAGTACTTAGAATAATTAGGCGTTAAATGGAAGAGCATTGGGAAGATGTGAGCTTTTTATATTCCGCCTCTGTTTTATAAACATTAGACGCTCTAAGAGCGTTTGCTACTTGTGACGCTGATGATCCTGCGACTATGATCCTGGCCAAAAAGCTATATGAGTGAAAATCATTTGAAAAAATTGAAGCAAGAGAATATGAAGTATCTTACTTCATATTCTCTTGATTGAAGCCATTTTACAACTGGTCAACAACAGGCGGCCCAGTAAAACCAAGCAATTTATTATTTTTTTAATTTGATCCGCCACAGGGATCCCAACTGACTATGTCTTTAATTGCTTGTTCCTATAGGTCCCACCAAAAGACGTCAAAGTATGCTGTTTTAGAAAATATACAATACTATATGGTTCACATTACGAATATCGGCAAAATATTTACACTATTCAGAATGGAAGGCATTTCCTGCTACCTAAATACAAGTATAGCTGTGGAGACCATCCTTGAATCCAGGCCAGCACGTTTTGAATCGTTGGTAAGAGGTACAAAGGCACTAGCAAAGAGTCATATTTGTCCGCAAATGATGCTGACAACGCGAAGTAATCAAAAAGGAATTTATAATATGATTTTGTTGATTTGGAGATCACACAATCTCAGGCTGGACCGTGACAAGCTGATGTCACGCAACATGCATTTACGGCATATTTTATAGTCACTCTTTATCGGGAATCAAGTATCGCGTTCCTATTTTTCCACGAAGAAATCGTTCTTAATTTTTTTAATTAGAGATTTTCGTTGTCGTTTTGAAATTCGAAAATATTTTAATTGGAATAATCGCTGTTTTTTAATATTAATTTATTTGCTCGAATTTCTTATTTGATAATCTAAATGTAGAAATGCCCAACGAAAATGAAACAAATTATGTAAAAATAATTGCTGAATATATTTGAATTTAAATTTTACAATTTTTTCGTCAAACTTAAGATAGTTGTTGATTTGATGGCCATTTTGGACTGCAATCAAGTCAGAAATTGATTGTTAGACTATAATTATCAACTTAGCAAGAGTGGTTTTCATTCAAATGAGAAACGTTAGGTACTAACCCTATTCTTCGTTTGCAATAGACGTCATAGCCGCCATGTTGGAAGAATTTGACAAAAGATTTTTAAATGAATTCTTTTGTTATATCTTCCAACATGGCGGACATCCCTTTTGTTATCGTGCTCTCTTGGGATTGATTGCAAACCAAGAATTACGTACAAGTCATGGAATGCCATTACAGTGAAATGGCTTCCCATTGTTTTCGTGTGAATCACCCAATCAAAATGGGCGTCATTGTTACAATTAGATATGACATGGCTACAGTGTAGTTACGCCTATCGTTTCCATCCCTTATGAAAACTGCTCCAAACTTACTGAAAAAATATTTTCATAGGGTTTCAAAACTATTGCTAATTATACGACAAAATGAAAAATCAATCAGGATTAAAAACCTGTCACGCTCTTAGAATAAAATTGCAATTTGGGGGATAGGGTACATTAGTTATAATACTTATCAAAAAATTAAATATCGTATATGATTTTTAATTTCATTTTCTGGGCCTTTCTGCATTAGGCGATATGGCCTAGCAGGTCACGTGATTTCTTCCGCCATGTTTGCAAATATGGAGTTCATATTCGCTGTAAACCCTTCCGATTTTCAGAGAAGGCTAGTGTAATAGATTAGGAATACATTAGAAATAGATTATGCATATTAAGTTGATGGACGCATTTTGCGTCCAACAAGACGGAAGGCAGTCACGTGACTAAATGGTATACATATGGCTTATAAGCTAAGGTAATAATAAGCAAATGGTTTGATCTTATCTCAAGGCATATTATCAAAATTTGAATTGTTAATACTTCATGTGGACGTACCACTAATAAGGCTGTAAAGTCACTGAAGGTCTTATTTCAAATATGTGAAATATCGTACTGAGAGAAAATATGGCCATAACGTAAGTGTCCCCACTAGTTCTAATTGTCAAGATGTTGAATTCGTTGATATTACCTCAATGTTATCGTAGTATAGGAATCAGAGGGGAAATCTGATCTGTACAAATCTTACACGTACTTCTTCTTTTTTGTAAACAAGATTTTGGCTTGGGGTACCTGTGCTCTGTTTTAGACAGGGATACCATGCAAAGAAAAAAGTTGGATGTATATTTCATTCCTCGATGACACAAAAAATTTGCTGGGCAGTAACGTTAAATACTGTTGCAGCACGAGAAACGCAAAAAAGAAAATGTTGACCACATTTATGAACAAAAAAGTAGTATGAGGGGTAGAGAATATATATTGATTACTAGAATGTAATGGGCCCATTCGGGATCATTCTCAGTCTTGTACCCAAAGTCCTCCAGCGCCTTCCTGCTGTTTAGTCAGTGCTTGGTAAGGCAGCCCGCTGACCAAATACCGAAAGACTCTGGGCTCGAGATTGGATCACTTTAGTACCCAGACCCTTCTCAGCAAAGATGAAGGGTCTGGGTACCAGAATTATTCGGGATCGAAGTATTATCAAGAAAACTAGTTGACAACAGACATGACAGCCATGTTGGAGGATAGAGGCATCAATAATCCATCCAACATGGCATTAAGAGCAACGCAAATAAGTCTCTTTTCTTGAGCAGAAAAACTTCCCGCAAGACTCGAGGTGCCTTTCATACGTGTTATTTTTCAAAAGCAAGTTGATCTTGTAAAATGAAATGCAAGAAAGCACGAAATGTTTGAAAGAGTCTTTCTAGTTTTTTAAAAGCTTTTTATCAATATCCTTTGAGACCATGTTAACTAAAAGGTTTTGACCAAGGTATTCGTTTGCTGATGTTGACATGACTACACGAAAAGAACGATTACGGTACGCAGATTGTGTGGCACATGTTGAACTATTAACAGCGAGCGAGCTTACCTACTGGTTTTACAGTTAAAATATTGGTACACGTAATTTGTTGATTTGAGCGGTTTTGAATGAGTGGGGAATTGACGGTACTAACGTACGCCACATAGTCTACACGGTACGAAATGCCGTAACATTAAACTGGCTTCTCGTAGTCTTGCTTTAATCCATCCAAGTACAACGCCTGGTAACAGGTACTGTAAGATACGGCTACGCATATGGGTCGTATCGTTTTCCACCCATTTGAAAACCGTACCGCTTTATAGAACGGTGCTCCTTCAGGCATACAAAAAAGATCCAAACTCTTTCATCTCCTACGCGCCATCTACGCATCATCGCGCAGTCTACGCGCCATCTTGTGTCTCCAAATTCTGCCGCACCCTATATTTCTCACTATTGTAATCAGCGAATTGCTTTAAAATCATAGTGCATATGTAAGACCTATTGTAAGACCTATTCCACATTACAAATAAAGTGAATGTTATAAAACATTATTCTGAAATCTTGTAGGATGTATCCAGGGTGTTTATTACTTGCCGCTAGGAAGAATATATTGGGGTTGGGTTTGTGATCATGTGCGGTACATTTTCTCGAGCCATGAAACTGCCAATTCTCGACTTTCACATCCCATAATCCTTTGCGTCTTTGGGGGGTAACCAGAGGGTAAAAACCCACTTATTTTGCTGAAGGCTGATCAGACAATGTTGAAAATACCTTGTTTGGTATCCAAAGATAAAATGAAGAAGTAAAAAACAGAAAAAGATAGAAGCTTGAAGACGTTTAAGGTAAATTTTTCGTAAGTCAATACATTTTCTGTAAGACCAAAACTCTTCATGATCTGATGTACACGCAAAAATAACTTGGAATAAACTGATAATCAGTATTGTACAGATAAAAGCAGGCATAGTATAAATTCAATTAAGAAACCTTTCAATTTGGGACAGTTTTTTGATTGGTTACCCCCCAAAAACGCAAGGCATTATGGGGATGTGAAAGTAGAGAATACGAATAAAATTAAATCGAACCGGAAGCTGCATACTTGATCAAATTATATTAACTAGTACTGTTCAGGAGGTCAGCTCGGTAATAACCCGCCATTCTTTTTTAGATGAGTTGGAATAACGGAGGCTTGGACGTAAAGCAATTTGAGCTTCTCTCAGGGTGCCCCGAGAAGTTTTCTTTTCTGATACCTCTGGTTTTTAATCGGCAAATAAACAAAACCAATTTTCTCCAGTTTTCCGTGGTATGTCCTCTTATTTACCACGATTTTCGTCATCTAGCCGTCAAAGTGTTGTGGACTCACGAGGCGTAGCCGATGGAGTGCACAACATTTTGACGGCCAGATGACGAAAATATCGGTAAACAAGAGGACATAACAAGGAAAACTGGAGGAAATTGGTTTTTTTTTGTTTGTTTGTTTTTTGTCTACTACAAAAAATTAGAAATTTCACTACGAAAACAAGGGTAAAATTTGGAATAAAAACGGTTTCAAGTTAAGCGCGCGCGTGATTTGCTGACGTAATTTATTGGTATGTCCTCCTATATACTCCGGCTCTAGACTAATCAGAAGGCGAGAAAATTCACGAATGTGGTAAAATGGCCCTTAGCCTCTTGCCCTATCCAAATTCACCTCTGGAAGCCCATGCATCTGACAATAAGACAGATATTTTGGGGATAATATAGTTTTGATTTTGTTTTGATTAAAAATAACCAGGACCATACTTCCAGACATCGAATGCTGAACCGTCGTATGGACTTACGGCTACGCCGGAGATTTCGACCCCGACACCGCTATCCCGGGAGGAATTACAGACTGACCAGGAAGCTCGGCCGAAGCCTAAGGGAGAGGTTAGTCGGCCCCTAGACCATAAATGATTAACCTCTTGCTATGACCAGCAGACCCAATGTATCTTTTGTGTAGCTGATGAGTAAACCCCCAAATTTACTCTTTTCCATGTGGGACACTTCTTTAAAACTAGCCGTGACGTACTGATATATTTACACGCAAACTCGGGGTGAAAATCAACCAAATGCGCCGAATATAACGAACTCGTGGATATTACTAGGCATTTTTTTCGGTTACTGCTTTATGCGAGACCTCATGAAATGGCACTATTATATTAGGTTTTATTTGTGTTTTATATTCTTTTTGATATAATTATTTATGCTTGTCTTACTTCAGGTGCTTGACTTATACTTCACGTGCTTCACTTACTTCAGTTGCTTACTTACTTGAGGTGCTTGACTTACTTCAATTGCTTCACTTACCGGAGGTGCTTGACTTACTTTAGGTGCTTGACTTACTTGATTTGCTTGACTTACTTGAGGTGCTTCACTTACTGGAGGTGCTTGACTTACTTTAGGTGCTTGACTTGCCTGAGGTGCTTCACTTACTTCAAGTGCTTCATTTACTTGAGGTGCTTCA